AAAGTCTTCTTTCAGGACAATTAAGGTCAATTTAATAGGCAAAATTAGGGATTACGGACTAGACAGGTGTAAATACACAGCTGGAATACAACTCCCGCGCATTTGGAGAAGCTGCCTGCTGCTGGAATAGGTACAGCAGGAGGGGCAGGTTTGGCTAGAAGCTGCGTGCAAGAGGGGCAAGCACTGCTGCAGGCAGTCCTCCTGGCGGATGCATGGCCATTGGCTGGTGCTGCACGTAGGAGGGGCAGGCACACTTAAAATGGCTGATAGGAAGGTTGAGCAGAAGGTGGCGCAGCTGGAGCACGAATAGGTTGCTGCTGCCAGTGATGAAGGCCGATCTTAGTAGGTGGTGGCAATCTGTAGTGGTGGCTGGTTATTAAGGCTGGCCTCCTTAGGGTTTTTCTTATTTCGGTAATGAAGGTGGATTAGGTTTATAAAGGATTTCTTTTACCAGGGCTCTTATACGATGTCAGGAATGATGTATTGTGCTTTTTATTGAATATCAAGACCTCAAATATACAAGTTTTCTTAAGTAAGAAAGAAAATCGACAAATTACATAGGGTATATTTTCCCACAATGACCTCTAACATAATTATCCTGGATTAATTACATATAAGTACATTCTTCAACAGTACAATAACCTGTTGACTAGCAAAACGACTTGCGTGGCAAATGAAGAAAAAATTAGGAGTAAATACCTTTTTGAATCAGTCTCATTGGAAATGGCTAATGGTTAGTAGTAATTTTACTTTGGACTTTATCCTTATTTCTTTTGACTGGATTGAATGCAGTGTTGGGAGTAAACTGGTTGTGCACATTGGGGCTTATTACATGGGATTTCCAGTTAATGAAAATGGGCTATGTTCGATGGAAGGCAGATCACTTTGTATGATCGCTGTAATTGTCTTTACAAGTTTTGGTCAGTTGCTTTTAAAGCTATATTAGGATATCATTCAACCTATCTCAGTCATTTATTGGTGGAATTTGTTTCAAGAGCCAATAAATTTGCCTCCATAGCGAGCTTGTGATCATGGCATCACTTTGCTACTTGATACTCTGCTGGTAATGGTATGTCCATACCATTACCCACATTTTTGGGAAATGAAATTGAAAAGCAATGTGGCACTGTGTTAAAACAAGGAATTATTAGGCACAATCAATCTCCTTTTTCATCTCCTGTGTCATTGATTGGTTAGGAACACTTATCAAACTTGGTGGTTTTGCATGGATTATCGAGCTCTTAATTCTCATATAGTGAAATATAAATTTATCGTTTCTGTTGTTTTGGAGTTACTTAATAATATTATGCTTTTTCTTTCTTTGAATTGGATTTGCATTCTGAATACCACGAGATTCGCATGGTTTCCAATTGAAACATGGTCATTTTTAAGTTTTTGGTAGTCCTTTTTGGTCTCACTAGTGCTCCAACTTTTCAGTCCTTGATGACCCATATTTTCTAGAAATATTTAAGTAAATTTGTCCTAGTTTCTTTGATGATATTTTAATTTATAGCAAGTTATGAGTTGAACTTTCACAATACCTCCAAACAGGCTTTACGACTCTTCGCCAGCATGTTCTGTTTCTTAAGAATTCCAAGTGTATTTTGGGCCAAACATCTGTAGCTTACCTGGGCATATGATTCTTGACATGGAGTTGCCGTTGACAATGACAGCATTGAAGCTATGCAACACTAGCCTCTTCTTTCTTCTTTAACTGCTTTAAGAGGTTTTCTAGGCCTTACGGGGTACTATAGAAAGTTTGTCAAGGATTATGGTCTTATTGTTGCCTTTTGACTAACATGCTCAAAAACATTCATTTATGCGGAGCGAAGACAACAAACATGCTTTAAGACTCTTAAGGCTGCTATTGTAACTACCCTATCTTGGCTCTTCCAGATTTTACTCCAACCTTTGTTATTGATTTGATGCTTTTGATGTGGGTATTGGGGCAATCCTTCAACAACAAGGTCGCCAAATGGCTTTTTTTTTAGTTCAACATTTGGCTTCTCAACATGTGGAATTGCTAGCTTACTAAAAGGAGTTAATTGGGCTAGTGTCAAGGCTGTCGAACTTGGCCTCCTTATTTATGGGGGCAGCAATTTCGCATTAAAACAGATCATTACAACCTCAAGTTCTTGTTGGAATTATAAATTCTCCCCAGCAGCAATGCATTAGGTTTTGATTCTATTAGGAAATTATTAGGTTTTGATTTTGTGGCTGAATACCAGGCAGGTGAAGAAAATATGATGACAGATGCACTCTCCAGACAGTTTGAGTTAGACACTGCCTGTCATACTATTTCTATTCCTTCTCTTGACTACTTTGATGGAATCCACAAAGAAGTCAAAATTTTAGTTTCTCTGCAGCAATTGGTCAATCAGATCTTACTAGGAGAATTAACTGATCAATGCCAACTTCTTGGTAGCTTAATTTTCTACAAAAGAAGATTTTCTTGAATCCTGACTCTCCTTTCTGTCAACTTCTGGTAACTACCGGTAGGAATCAATTCCATGAGGGTTATCAAAAAATTCTTTTATGCTCTCTATGAGCTTCTTTTGGAAAGGTATGAAACCTTAGGTGAGGGACTTTTTTCATGCTTTTTCAGTATGGGAATGCAATAAAGTTGAACATCTACAAAATATCGGTTTATTACCTTTACCAGTACCTGTATAAGATGTCTCTTTGGATTTTGTGGAAGAGCTGCCAGTATCTTGAGGTAAAAATGTTTTACTGGTGGTAGTTGATCGTTTTTCTAAGTGTGCTCACTTTATTCTTTTATCGCAGCCTTATACTGCTGCCATAGGAGCCCGACTCTTCTTCAATTCTATTTTCAAGTTATATAGTTTGCCAGAGTCTATTGTTTGTGGTCTTGATGTGGTTTTCACAAGTTTATTTTGGAACAAACTCCATCTCTGTGGTGCCAAGCTTGCTTTTAGCTATTCATACCATCCTCAATCCGATGGGTAAACCAAGGTAGTCGATGGGATTGTGGAAATGTATCTATAATGTTTTCTATGGCAAACATCCTTCTCAGTGGGTTCAGTGGCTTCCTTCGGCTGAATATGCATACAACATCGCATTCCATTCTTTCTTGCAAATTGCACCTTTGAAATGCTGTATGGTCATCCAGCTCTTTGCCTATTTTCCTAAGTCCTGGATTATCCAAGTTAGAAGCAGTAGATTGTGAGCTTCAGAACCGTGACTAGATCTTATCCAACCTCCATAATCATTTAAAGTACAGCAGCACATGAAATTTATTTATGATTCTCAACACCATGAAGTGCAGTTTAAGGAAGGGGACTTAGTACTTTTGAAACTCGAGCCACATTATTAAGTTTCTCTTGGTCAAAAGCAAATCCAGAAGTTGTATCCTTGCTTTTATGGCCCTTTCAAGGTCCTCCAACATATTGGTGTTGTAGCATACAAGCTGGATTTGCCTACTAACTCTCAATTACATCCGATTTTTCCTATCTCTTCACTCAAACTGTTTCATAGACAGTGAATGTGTGCCAAACTCTACTCCCCATTCATTAAAATCATTTCTCATCCTTCACCACAAGCTCAATTAGCTTCGCGGACTTATAAATGCCAGCAAGAGGTTCTGATTCATTGGGAGGTTCTTTCTCCGGGTGATGCTTCTTGGGAACTTTAAGATCAAAAGAAGCTTCCATATCCACAATTTGGGCTTCAAGGACAAGCATCATTTTAAGTAGGGGAGTAATTATAAGGGCACTTTAAGTGTAACAAACATTACACCTTCTGATAAGGTGTATCAAAGAAGGAAGAATAAAGTAGGAGCATAATTGTGTGTTTAAATTAATTAGTATATTATATATTGGGAGTATAATATAAATTGTTCATCTATTAGGACTACATTCTGTTACGTGAACAGTGTAAGTTGTGTAGGAATACGGCAGAATATTAGGATTAGGACAAAATGTTAGTTAAGATAAATATATAAATAACTTCTAGGTATATACTACTCTTAAGGTAATAAAATCTGCTCTCTTGGAGACGGATTTATGCTTGAATAAAATTTATGAAAATTTGAGTACTTTTACTCAATAGATGATAGGATTCTCTAAACGAAACCTAAAAATAAGAACTCAAAATAGGCAAGGGAAAAAACAATCACAAACATTTCGAAACGCTTACTGATTTCTATATTCATAAAGGTCGTCGGATTCTCTAAACAAAGCCAAAGTGTGAAATACATTTGTAATAAGCAAAGATAGATGCAAACCTTTGTTGGCCAAGATATTTCTCTTGTAATATGTCATCAGAGAATTGATGGTTGGTTATGGATTGTACAATACTATATACTTTTAAGCTTTTGTATCACCATACCATGTTTGCTTTGAGGCCGTCTTGGTATTTATCTTAAATGGCTGTATTTGCCTTTTTTTTCAGGTAATACAAGGTGTAGTAAAGGCACTTGATGACCCAAAAAGAATTGTTCGTCAAGAAGCTGTCAGATGCCGGCAAGCATGGTTAGTGCTTTAGATTCTTATATCTTGTTTCTTCCATGTGCGGAGTCCTGTTTGATTTTTTTAACTTAGATATGCAATGAATACCAAACAGGGCATCAACTGCATCAAGAAGTCTTCATTCGTGAGAATTCATGGAAAGCATTTTCTAAGCCATGCGACAGGGTGGATACACATTGCTTTTTTTTTATTTTTAATCCTAAAAATGAATGCTATTTGTAAATAGTTCAGTCAATTTACTGTATTTGTAAGATTAATTTTTAAAGTAAATGAGTGTAGAGTAAGATGGGTATAATTGTAACCATGCTTAAACAGTTTTTTAAAGGAAAACAATGGAATTATGAGTTAGTTCAGTCAATTTAATTTTAACCCTTGATTATTCAGTCTCCCAAATTAGGGATTGAGAAGGTTTTACAGTACATTTAATGTTATATTTTTTCTATAATTACTTAATTATTTTAAAAGTCATAATTATGACTTTTGATAAGGAATTAGATTTTTGTTATATTTAACAAATTTCTTTTTTATTTCACACTTTTCAACCTAACAAGATGCAGTTTAAAATGTTTCTTTACCCCTTCTATTATAATTAACTTTCTAGCGACGGGTATTTATATGAAATTAACTCAGAGTCTCTCTCTTCTACTTGTATGACTTGATTGAGTAATCGCAAGCACATGTAAAGGCTTTCTGTCATGTGCCTGCTGAGTGAAACTTTGTTATTAGTATTCTGCAAATGATGCATACGGATACTCAAACACGTTTTATAATAGGAGAAGATGTTGTAGTTCGAATTTTGATAGAATTGTTTCTAATTAAACTAACTATAAAATTTTACGTAAATACTAAAAGAAAAGGCTTTGTTTGGGAATGAATGTAAGGAAAACAGTGTAAATTATTTGGGTAAGACTTCAATGAAGATGCGAGCTGAATAAAAAGTGAAAGGGGAAAACGTAAAATTACTAATGTACAAAAATAATAATAATTTTATTATTATCAATATAATAAAAGAATGAAGGTGATTCTGTTTCTTTTCATATGCTTTTATATACGCATCAACGAAACTGCTCTTCAAGAGTCCAGAAGTAATTTAGTAGGTTTTCTGTTGAAATCAACCTTTAATAACTACTTGTCTCTAAGGGCTTGCAAACTAATTCCTGCTGGAAAATGTTTAAATTTTTACAAAAATACTAAAACAAAAAAGGGTTTTGTTTGGGAGATGGGGTTGGGTAGAATGAACATTACTAGAATGAAATGGAAATCAAACAATTTAATTTGTTTGGATAAGATTGTCATGAAGAAAAGTGCAAAAATACTAATGTGCAAAAGACCATAATAACTTCATCATTATTAATATAACGAAGGAATGAGGGTGATTTAGTCTCTTTCATCTATTTCTATATATGCGTTAATGAGATCACTCTTTAAATGTATTATGTAATTTATTTCGTTTTATGTTGAAATCAACTTTCAATAACTATTTATCTCTAATATTTGAATTTGTTTGAGAGAAAGGGTTGGTGCAAAATGAACACTAATGGAATGGAATCGAATCGAATGTAAGGAAAACAAATTTAAATTGTTTGGATAAGATTATAACGAAGATGAGAGAAAAATAACAATATTTTACATTGTCTCAATAAAATGTTAAAAAATATATATATATATATATATAATTATTAATGTGTAAAAAAGACAATAGTAATTTTATCATTGTCAATATCATAAAGGAATAAATTAATTTAGTCATTTTTTTTTTCTATTTCTTTATATACATTAACGAAACCACTCTTCAATGAATTCATAGATAACTTGTTAGATTTTGTATTAAAAATTAATCTTCAACAATCACTTGTCTCTAAGATTCGAGTTTACAAACTACTCCTCAGGGTGGATACAATGGCTTTACTCCATCTCCTTCCATAAGATAGAATTGGTTATTGCTACGAGTGCTACGTAGAAAAAGTTGTTTGAGAGGAAAATTATGTTGTTTAGCTGAGATCTATTATTAACTCAACAAATATTCAAGGAAAGCTTTGATAATGACATCATCTGAATTAAAATAAGAAAGTAATTCAATGAATGGATGCTTATACCAAGGTATAAATGGTGAATAATCATTAATATTTATTTAAAAAGAAGAAAACTTGAGAAGGATCAATGTCAAACCAATAATAAATGTAGGTTTTAAGTGATTAGGTTAGCAAAAAATCTCTTAAATATTGACGAACATAATAGTATTAATTTCACAGAATTGCATGGAAAGCTCACTAATATATTTCCATCCAGTGCAAATCTCGCCCCACATTTATGGTTTAAGCTAGCTACAAATTAAGCAGAGTAGGAAATTTTTAAGACTACATTTTGACGTACCCATTCTATTTTCATTAATTCTGAAGAGGCCTCTAGTCACCAAGTCAAAGGATCACCTCTTTTCTTACGAGACCCACACCATACCAACAGGTAATATCCATCAGCAAAGCTTAAAACAAAATACCTAAGCCAATTTTTTTTTATATTGTGATGGAGGTCTTTATTAATAGAAAAAAGTCTCTCTAATGCCCTTCTCTTTATGAGTGTCCTTGAGGGTGAATAAAAGGTTGAGGATGCAGTTGAAACCACGCAAGATTTCATGGAAGGAAGCACATTTGTGCATGCTAAAAAGCTAATTTATATATATATATATATATATATATATTATGTATCAATGTATATAAATAATATTTTAAATATAATTTACTCAATAAAACATATAAAATAAATACCATAAAAATATAACATTAAAAATTTTAAACTAAAGCATTTCAATTCAACAAATTGTTAGATATTAGATATAATACAAAATATTTAAACTATCAATTTGCTCAATTACAATTAATCAAAATTTAATTTCAAATAGAATTAATTTATGTTGGGATAAGAATAAACTACAAATTTATTAATTAATATATGGCAATGAGGTTAGGGCATGTTAAGGATATCTTTTAATCAATACTCATTTTATATTTATCTTGGGTTGATAATTTTTTACATATATTTTATTCTTAATTTATTAATTACAAATTTTTACTTACTCCATCTGTAACAATTCTGGAAATCCAAAAAGAAATATATAATAACTTAAGTGCGGAAGTGAAATAAAATGTTAAGATTTACATTTCTTATACAATAACTTAAAAGTACTAAACATAATTACGAAATTCATTCTGTAAAAGAAACACGAAAAATAAGTAAACAAATGAAAAATAGAAAATATCTAGCATCTACTCGCAATCTTCTTGCGGATCAGGCTCTGGAACCTGATCCTTTTGATTTGAAATGGTTAAATAAAGGATGAGATATACTAACCTAGTAAAAATATCACACTATATCACCGACATAAAAGTAAAGATTGGTATAAAATTGAAAACCACTAATGGAGCATTAAATTTAGTAAATTCATTTATCAATCATAAAATTATTTTTCGTTTATTTACCATCGTGAAATTTATGCAAACAACCTGTAAGAAAAATAATATCATACAGACCAATATCTCATACATATTCAGCCATCATAGTACATGTTATAAATCCATATCCGTTATTAATAAACCAAACAATAACTACCACCCTTTTCACCAGTCTGCTGATATTCATGAGGGCTCATAGGGATGCTCCCGCTACACGTGAACCCTTTCATTTATCATTTCTCAATTATGAGCCGTCCTCATACCCCGTTCGATATGAGTACCAATTTACCAAACCTCAATACCCCGTCCGGTATGAGAGTGAAGCGAGCTGTCCCCATACCCCGTCCAGTATGAGCGCCAAATTATCAAGTCTCCATACCCCATTCGGTATGAGACAACGTTCATAGTAGGATTTCCTATGTACTCGGTCCGTCCACCATCTCCCAGGATATTCAGTAAGACTGTCGTTTCATCTATTCATTTCATCACATAATTTTTACCGTTTAACCTTCTTTTTTTTTCGATTCAGCAGTAAACACATAGAATAAACTATACATCTATTCAAAGCTATAAAATCAATTAATAAGGTACTATCATGCATTTAAATTTTAAAACAATCAACAAAATAACAGTAGAGAATTTTCGGTTCTAGCTCCATTAGCAATCTGAAATCAATTATACACATTTTTTAAATTCACACAAAATATCGTATTATTATTTATTTAGACTCCAGTTCTATAATAGGGAATAGGGTGAAGGATCTTTACTCAATTTGACACCCGAAAAAATAAACTGTTTACTGTGCCTACGGACAGTCCCTAGGTTCCCTGAATTTTTCTCCAGGAATTGAAACGTGCTAATAATACCTAAAAATGTTCTAAATAAACTCAAAATCAGTCCCAGGGCACACTCACCCAATTTTAAAAATTCGACACGGCGGCTCCACCTTACTCCGGCAATGGTGCCTCCGCCTGCGGCGGCGATTCGCCTTAGGTCATTTGTTTTTGACCGAATTCAGTCGATTTTACATCGATCCCTATGAGCAAAAACGTTAAAGAGCCTCGGTTGGTCAAAAAATACGAAAAACTAAATTCAC